ACCACTGACCTTGTGGTTACTAGTTCAATGATTACCACACAGCATCAACAGTGGAATAGAAAAGTTTATTCTTTTCTATTAGAAAAAAATAAATCAATAAAATGGAGTATCATCTACCTACTTTAATCAACAGGAAAGAGGAGAGCTAATGCAAAAAATAAGAATAACTTACCTATAGAGACAGAGGAGATTAGAAGAATTTTAAGTAACAATCAAACTCTATATAAATTCAAAAATATGGACAAAATCAATTATTTTATAAAAATTACCAAACTGATGCAATTATATTGTTTTTTCAAATGGAACATATCAATTGCCAAGCAGAAAAAGTTTAAAATTAGTGGCCTATCTAAAACCTACCCAAAAAGGTTTTAAAGTTCTTTCAAACTTTCAAGAAACAAATTCCATGATAAAGTATGACTAACCAAAGTAAAATTACTCTGGACTCATCTGATATCAAAACCAATAAAAGAAAGCACTCTCACTTAAAAATATTTATAAATGCTATAAAATCCAACAGCATATTAAGAGTATAAGCAGTACAAAATGTCATGACCGGGAGAATTGTTTCAGAACTAGTAAGTTCACAAATAAAGAAGTGAAAGTTAATGGAGAAAAGCAAATTTCCACGCTAAAACTGTATCTGATAAAATTCATAATATAAGCTTGTTTGTAATTTGTATGAAACAAGAACAGAAGGTTAAGTTCAATGACCACTCCTCAGCTCTTATTTTAAGAGGAACTGTCCATTGCCTTTGACACGGATGCAGATTCTTTCTTGAAACATTCTAATCTAGCTTCTTTATCCTCCTCGCCTTCTACCTTCCATTCTGGCCAGTCTCTGGGCTCGCTCCATTACTACTAGCTTCTTAACACCGTTATGTTCCAGAGCTCAGTCTTCATATCTCCTTTCTTTTTTCACCTTCACTCACAACCTTGATGGGCTAGAAGCGTGGCAGAAATGGATTGACAGCTTACAGACCCATCTCCAGTCTGGCCCTCCCTCCTGACTCCAGACTTCTGTATCCAACTCTGCCGGACATGTCCACTTGGCTGTCCAACACGCATCTCAATCTTAACAAGTTTTCTTCTACTTGTTGGTCTTCAACCAGTGCTTCAATGACCATTTCTACGCTTACCTCCTTGGACACATGTCTTCTAATGTGGAAACCAAAAGAGGAACAGGGTACATGTCAATGTATACTTTCAATAGATACTATCAATGTACTCTCTAGAGTGACAGTACCGATTTGCCTTCCCACAAAGAATTTACAAGATTATTCATCTCCCTATGTGTTTATGTTTAATATGACCTCTTTCTACCTTCGGTAGTGTTAAACATGTTAATTAAATGACTCATACGAAAATGTTTATATTACTCACCAACTGATAGTAGCTTGTGTAAAGACAAGTTGAGGCTGGGGAAATGCTGACTGATAAAGGCAGCAAGGCTAGGATGTTAAAATGCGTCACCCAGCAAACCTGTGCTCGGATCTAACTCACGTTATGAAATGCTGAGAAGAGCCATTACAAGGGAATAACAACACTGCACTTTGAAATGGTACCCTTATGTGAAAGGGACTAAATCCCTTTCCTCATTCATAAAGTCGTTCCTGTGTCAAAAATGAAACAAAACATCTATCTTAAAGGGTAGGGATAGAAAACACCCAAAGTAAATGAGGTGTTGAAATAGCAATAGGCTCTTTTCCAGAAGGAGGAATGCATATAGGGGCACTAACACTAACATGTCGGGATGCCATACAGCTTTCAATTGTTTAAAAACAGCGACGACACCCACATGTCAAAACCCCAAGGCCTTTTACAGAATTAATAAAATCCGTCTTTAAAATGTGCCTTTCTCTAGTCTCTTCCCTCCTTCTCAGTCTCCCTTTCTCTCACACATAAAAACCTACTTCAAACACACACACACACACACACACACACACACATTCAGCAGCCTACAAAATGATACGGGGGGAGGGGGAGTGTGGAAATAACCACGCATTCAAGAAAGAAGAAAATGTTCTAAAATTGAGCATGGTAATGATTATACAACTCTTAATATAATTGAACTATTGTTTGATATGTGGATTAGATCCCAATAAAACTGTTTGTTTTTTAAGTGTGGAACATTTTGTATTAGTAACATTAAAATGGTCTTAAAAGAATGGAAAACAACTTTGATATGGACACACAACAGAAGGTACCATCAATGAATAGTAATTAATATGCAAGGCACCTCATAATATGGATAACCGTAAAGGAGATTTACTGAACAAAATTCACCAACCACAAAAATACAAATATAACACTTTGTTAAAAGGTCAAAGGGCGGGAGAGGATGTCACAGGCTAGAATGTAAAGTGATAACTGGGGTGTAGGGAAGGCAACAAACAATAAAAGGGGGGTTGGTCAAAACCAAAGGAAGCAGGACAAGAGTTAACAACAACAGAGGCAAGAACGGTTACATATACAATCCTGTGATACTGGTGATGTACGTACATGCAGATGCTTGGATAGACAGACAGTTGAAGAGATGTGGGAACTAAAGTGGGAGTATACCCATGAATATATATTTGACAGAGGATTATTACATCTGTGTGTTTACCTTTGCTGCAAATATGTCCATGCATGGGCAAAGTGGAGCACACATGGGCAAAGTTCTGGAAACCTGGTCCAAACCGGATTCCTTGAAGAAGAGAGTCAATGCGCTTGGGGGTCAGGACCACCATCTGGATCAATCATGTAACATAGATCACAAAGACCATGTTCGATATCCTACTTTGGCAAGTATGACTGGGATCTTAAGAGCTCATTAGCAGGCGTCTAAGGTACATCTATTGATCTTTCCCCATCTGGAGGAGAGACGACTGATGAAAGTCAAGACATATGAAAAACCCCATCTACTGGACTCCACAACCATGAGACCAGAAGAAGTAGATGGTGACCAGAAGAACCGGCGAGCACTAGACCAGCTGCTCTGGCAAGGATCGCTCTTGAAGATGTTGGACAGAACAGGAGAAAAATACGTAACAAACCCCAAGTCATGAAAGAGACGAGGCTTGCTGCTGGGATGGAGACTAGTGAGCCCCTCAAGACTGTGGCCTAGTGACCCTTCAGTACTCATGTGAACTAAGCTCACTCCATGTCAGACCTATCAACCATTCAGCATCAAAGGAGCAGTGTTCACTTAAGGGCAGAGGTTCAGAAAGGAGGAAGAACAAAAACAGGTAGCCGGGAGGAAAGGGGCAAGTGTTGGTACATTAAAAGGGATTGCACTAAATGCAGTGAAACAAAGTATGCATGATTTGCTTAATCTAAAACTGATATTTGCTCTGAAGACCTTCACCTCATCCACAATAAAAAAGTTTTTAAAAATTGCTATCAAAATATCCTTTTCTTTAACTTAGGCCTAAAGCTGACCAGCATGAGTAAGACAGAACTGACCTTCATCATGGTAGAAGACAAGTCAATGGGAGAGCGCCCATGTTCCTGTGTTCAACACCTGCTGTGCTTTATATAGACTCAACCTTGTTGTTGTTGTCAGGTACCAGTGAGTCAGTTCTGAAAGCCAACCCTGCACCCTCACAATCCTTGCTATGCTTGAGCCTGTTGTTGAAGCCACTGTGTCAACACTGAGGGTCCTCCGTATGTGTGTGTGTGTAACCTCATCTTCCAAGCAAAAATGGCCTTCTCCAGAGACTGACCCCACCTGATCACATGTCCAAAGTGCCTGAGACAAAGCCTCGGTCGCTTTGCTTCTAGGGCACCTTCAGGCTGTACTTCTTCCAAGACCTATAAAGCCACCCTGTAAGGTGTGATTGCCTAAGAGGAAGTTGAAGCTCAGAGAAGTTGATATGCGTAAGGCTGCTTACGTGGCAATTGGAGAAGCAGGAATGTGAACTCGGACCTACTGACTCCAGAGTCCGCCCCCATGGTACCCTTCTTTCTGCTGCAGCTGAGAGTCCAGTAATACTCAGCTAGATCAGCATGTACAATAACCTGCATCAAGACAACGCTCCCACCACATGACTTCCACTGCATTCAACAGAAAAAGTAACAATTCATATGACAGCTGTTCAGAAGTTTCTGGAATTGCATTTTGTTTTCAAGACTTCTAGAAAAGGTCAAGGCAAAATAAAGGAATGTAATAAAAGAGAGAGATGAGGAGTTAAGAGAGAGGAAAAAGGGAGGGAAGACCAGGATAATACAGTATTCAATGAACTTATTATAAATCAATCTGTTATGTCTCATTAAATTCCAAAAGGTCGAGGGAGGGAAAGCCGTAGGACTTGCCACTGATCATCCTGATTTGGAGCTTGATTCCAATAATAATAATAATACTCAGTCAACAGAAGCATTGAAAACCCAGGCCTGCCAGGACAAAGACCAGCTCACTACAATCACTTGTGCACTGTCCCAGCTGGCTCCTGAACTAAATGGCAGCTCCTTCACAAAAGCACTATCATCCCAGTACACACCACGTCACAAAGGGATACGTATGCGTCCTAGAGGCAAATACACTCTCAAAAACCTAACTTAAATATGACCAACCTCCAGGTAGCCAACCTCAGACTAAAGGAAGACTCCTACTTCCCCTTCAAGGTCATGTCAAGGTCATGTGAATTGACGCTCGCTTTCAATCAGATCAAAAACGCTTGATCACAATCACCTTTACTCGCCGCACATGCAGCTTGTAAATCATTGGAAAAAAACCCAACTCACTGCCCCTGAGTGGCCCTGGGAAGTCAGAGCAAAACTGCTCTCTTGAGGGTGCGTGAGGCTGTCAAGTATTGTGGAAGCAGAAAGTCTCATCTTCCGCCCCGCAGAACAGCTCAGGGTTTGCACTACTCATCTCGCAGTTAGCAGCCAAATGTGTGACCTTCTGCACCTGCCCCAATTTACCCACAAGTTGGATTGAAAGACACACTTGGGAATGAATCCCAAGTGTATTGAACCAACCATCATTAGCTCAAACCTTTACTACTTTGGTTACTTACCTTGGGCTGTGAAATGACAGGGGTTGAAGTAGGGTCGGCCACCATGGTTGTGTTCATGGGAGATGGCCTGGGTTCCAGCACGATAGCTCTGGGCACGGGACTCAAACTCTCTTTTTGCTCATCAGAGTGCCGTCATGCCAGGAGAAACTGTGTACCTGAAAAAAAGGACCAAAAAGAAAGAAAGAAAAGTCAATTGAGCCTACAAGGATTAATTCACTAAGGGGAAGCAAAATTCCTTTAACAGAAGAAAATTTGGGGGTTAATTTAAAGATTGACTATCGTAAGTAGCATCTAAATTTTAGATGCTGAATAGTAGGCAGCATCTATATTTCAGTTTCTAAAACATAAAACCATAAATCCTGTACCATTTTGCCAAATGATACTAAACGGATGTGTTTTCATGTTTGAATGCAACACTGCGTGCTGGTTCAATGTTTTAAGGAGGCTGCTTCACGTGGAGGGGGTTGGGCAAAGGGCAGGGGTGAAGCCATCCTGTTGTTAACCAGAAAGGAATTGAATAGTTGAATAGTGCAGAATGGAGAAATGACTGTTTTATGCCTGAAGAGCAAAGACACGAATGCCATCAAGTGTCTTAAAAACCCACCCATTTCACCCCTGTCCTTTTGCAGATAAGAACGGACCAGAACACATTTAACTCATGGCAGAACGAGGAACCCCAATTCCCAGACCAATATGGAACATAGTTGAATATGTTCCATGATGACATTTCCCCAAGGAACTTAGTTACCACTTCAAGATTTTTAAAAGGCAAGACATCTCACAGTTAGAGGAGTTTGCCAAGGAGTGAGTCAGGTAAGTACTTGGATAGATGGATGGGAAGCTTAAAACACCCGAGCTACAAAATAAGGAATTCTCATGCACTACCCCGGAGTCAATTCTGACTGACAGCAACCTATAGGACAGGATAGAACTGCCCCTGTGAGTCTCTGAGACTGTACCTCTTTAAGGGCATAGAAAGCCTCGTCTTTCTAATGTGTGAGAAAAATCTAAAATCCTTTGAGCATTACAATAAGCATATTAACACCCATTACTATTATATTAAGAAAACTCAGAAAGAATTTATTCCTTATAGTAAAGCATCGCTTACTTTTGTCAAAAGACAGAAGTGATGTTTTCCTACTTCAATTTAAAAGGTTTAAATTTATTTAAAAGGTTTACTTTAAGAGAGTGCATGCCTACCTAACAATATCATTTCCCTGATTTGAAAGTTATTTATTGAGCAGCTACAGTGAGCCAGGGGCCTCATGAGCAAGGCAAAGGCAGC